GGGGGGGGGGTTGGGGAGTGGCCTAAAAGCCCACCTGTCCTCTGAGGGTGTTAGTTTAGCTGTTAGTTTATGTTTATGTATTCATTATTACATAACATATGTGTGGATAGTGGTTAATTGGTACATAGGGAAAACTGGCAAAACTTACATGTTTGATACTGTATATTTTTGCCTTTGTGTTTTTTAAACTTAAGCTCAGTTCTTGAGCTTTCAATAATACTTTTGTTTTAGTATTTATAATTAAAATCATATGTTTAGTGAGAGAAAAAGTAAAATTTCAAAAAAATGTCCCAGTTTACCAGTATCCACCCTATGTTTATAATATATGTACTCTGTATTAAAACCATTAACGTGAGGGAAGATAATGAGTGTGTGCCCCCCTGACCCGCAGTCGACGACATTTGCGGCGGAGGTGAAAAGCCTGACCATGCGCATTCGCACGGTGCTGATGGCCACAGCGCAGATGAAGGAGCACGAGCGCGACCCGGAGATGCTGCTGGACCTGCAGTACAGCCTGGCCCGCTCCTACGCCAGCACGCCCGAGCTGCGCCGCACCTGGCTGGACAGCATGGCCCGCGCCCATGTCAAGAACGGCGACTTCTCCGAGGTGCAGCACCGGCCCGTCAGGCCAGTCCTCACAGCCCAAATGCAGCTCTTCACTATTCTGTAGCTGTGTATTTTCAGCAGGAGTGCTGCTATATGGAAGTTAGGAAAACAAATAAGCTATCACAGTGCTGTAGTGGCACATTTTACATTAAATAATGTATTATGTCATTATTGTCCTCATTGAGCTATAGCAGTACTAGCCTTATAAAGGGTTCATGAATGTATGCAATCAGGTTATTAATTAGGTTGTAATGCTTTGTAAATCATTAATAGACAGTTATAACAGTTTTTTAATTAATAAGTTACCATTTACCATTTATGAGTGGCAAAATGGAGCATTATTGTGAAGTGGTACCAGCATATCCTACAAATGTCATTCTGGGTGACCGTAAAAGTACAAATTAAATTTATCAAACATATTTATAATCAAAATAGGGAAATTCACTATTAGGCGAGAAAAGGCCACTTGCTTTTACCATACAACAACGGCAGGAACTGGCTCAAACCAGATTTTCTGCATTGCCAGCGAATGACACCTTGCTTGAGCTTAAACCGGAAGGCCATTATAGATATGCAGCATTATGCGTGGCCAGCTTATCTCAGAAGATAGTGATTCAAATTCTATTCAAATGGCAGCAGACAGCATGGTACATCGACCCCATAGCTACAAGGCTGAAACAACTTCTTAATAGTTCAGGCCAAAAGCTTGTCCTCTGAAAACTGTGATAAATTAGAGAGCTGGTGCCATATGATTCTGTAGATTAGTGTATGTATTTGAGTGAGTGAGTGAGTAGGACAGCCCTAAACCAACAACACCTTCAGGAGCTGCATACAGTTTCCAGCAGTGTTTGGCTCCTTACTACAAAGCTGTAGGTTCATGTTCGGACATGCATGGGAGACGTGACTCAGTCTTAGCGCACTCAGTACACACAGCTTTGCCAGCCGGATAAATGAATAACAAAGTGCTAACAATTAACGTCAACTGTATCCACAGGCTGCCATGTGTTATATCCACATCGCTGCGCTGGTTGCCGAGTACCTGTACCGGAAGAGTAAGGCCTTTTCTTTTGTCCCCACCTCCCTACAGTATGTCCTGAGTTGCCATGACGATACCTTGGCAACCTTATAAATCACACAATGTGAGCAGCCCATCTGCTTTGTGTTTGGTTCAGTTCACTTGAAAGAGAAAAGGCTTCCTGTAGTCTTGCCGGTATTATGCAAAGTCATATGTGACCACATGCTTTGGCGAACAATATTGCAGGGTTTGTGCAGACCAGTGTCCGCCAGACTCTGGTTTTTAAAGCCACACCCTCTCATACACTCTCTGATGTTGGGGTGGATTGAAATGAAAATCACCCTTTAAGCGTGTATACTTTTACAATGGATCAATAATTTACAGTATAAAATTGAAAAAATGAGCTTTTATGTGCCATTTAAGTCCAACTTTAGGCCACATTCATTTTTTAAGCCACAGCATATTTTTGTTGTCAATAAGCAGTAAGCATATTCAAATTGTAAGCTAAACCATTTTATGTAATAACAGCAAACAGGAAATATGTCTCATATTTATCAGGATAGTTTCTCAATCCTTCAGTTTCTGTCTTTATCATAAGTTACCATGGGGAAATCAGAGGGAAATAAAGTAGTTTTTTTGCACATTAAGTGTAAACAAATGTATTGGGTTTTATTTTATTTGTTCTCAGAAGCGTTCCCTAGTGGCCTGGTGGCCTTTAAGAAGATCACTGTCAACACTGAGGAGGAAGCGGCCATGAAGGAAGACACCGGCATTCAGGACATCTACTACACTGAGGTACAGTGTCCTCCACATTATTGACACCCCTTGTAAACATTTGTAAAAAGGGTTATAAAAAATCCACCTTTTGGTGAAGTAGTTTCATCTCACACTGAAAAAATGAGAAAGATCCAACCTTTCATTAAAATAAATTTATTGAAGGAAAAAGAAATCCTCAAGAAATTATAAAAAAAAAGCACGTGCCACAATTATTGGCACCCATGCATTTAATACTTTGTAAAGCCTCCCTTTGCCAGTATAACAGCACTGAGTCTTCTTCTTTTATAAGGTTGGAAATACAGAGCAGGGTATCTGAGACCATTCCTCTTTACAGAATCTCTCCAGATCACCCAGGGTCCTAGGTCCTCTCTTGTACACTCTCCTCCTCAGCTCAGCCCACAGATTTACACTGGCGTTCAGGTCAGGGGACTGAGATGGTCATGGCATGATTCCGTGGTCAGCATTTTTGTTTTGATTTGGACGTATGTTTAGGATCACTGTCCTGCTGGAAGATCAAATGATGTCCCAGCTTGAGTTTCCAGCCAAATTTTGATTTAAAATGTCCTGGTATTTCATGGAGTCCATAGTGCCATGTACCCTCACAAGGTTTCCAGGGCCTTTGGAGGAAAAACAGCCCCACAACATCACAGGAACCTCCACCATATTTTACGACTGGGATAAGGTACTTTTAATTATAGCCACCCTTCTTTTTATGCCAGACCCGCCTTGAATGTTTATTGCCAAAAAGCTCCATTTTTGTTTCAGATCATTTAATTTGGTTCCAGTCAAAGCTGTAGTAGTGTTTCGCAAATTCCAGGTGCTTATGTTTGTGGTTAACTGAAACAAGAAGCTTTTTTATCTTCCAAATAATCTGAAGGTGGCGTCTGATGGTGTTTTTGGAGACGTGGTAACCCCAAGATTTTACTTACTCTGTCACCAACAGTGAGCCTTGGGGATTTTTTGCCTCTCTTACAATTTTCCTCACTGTACGTGGGGGCAAAATAAACTTGGGTCCTTTTCCAGGGAGGTTTGTAACAGTTCCAGTTGGTGTCCACTTTTGTGTATTTTTCCTACAGTAGTAGAAAATGGGCATTTTCAGGCAAGTAGCTATTTTTTAATACCCATTCCCTGACACACTTCTTCGTTATTTGGTTTGTGTGTTCTCTTATGTATCCCATGTTGATGGATGACTAAGGGAATTTGGACTCTATGTCACCTAATATTTGTACCCTAGTTATTCAGGAAGTCATGTATTACACCTTGAAGCTTCCTCTTCACTCCAATCGACTGAAAGATGTGCAATTTACAGGGGAAACATGCTTCAGTTACATGGTGCTCACTAATTTCCAGGGGTGCCAATAATCGTGGCACACGATTTTTTTGTTAAGAATAATTATTTTTCGATGAAGGATTTGTTTTTCTTTGAATAAATTTATTTAATGAAAGGTTGGATTTTTCTCATTTTTTCCAGAGTGAGATGAAGCTACTTCACCAAATGGTGGATTTTTTCTAACCCTTTTTACAGATCATTACAAGGGATGCCAATAATTGTGGAGGGCACTGTATATACAGTATCTGTGTGTGTGTGTCTTTGCGTGTGTGTGGATTATATTTCTACTACACTAGGGACCAAATGTTCCCTTCAATGTGATAAAAACCTGCTATTTTGACGTCATCTTCTGAATGAACAATAGGGTGGGGTGAAAAAATCAAAATCACTTGTCACATCAATGGGCAATATACACTATCCATTATCTATACTCATCTGTGTTGTGTTTGTGCACTTTCACAACATGTTAATCAGTACAAAATACCAATGTTCAGGTAATGCAGATTTTTACTGGGTATCAGCCATACACATACATTACATCGCTCTGCGGCTCTACGTGCATTACGATTAATCACCTTACATATTTTTTTGTAATGTTGTTCCTGTATTGCCATTTTATTGTTTTTTACTATGTGACGTTTTAGTTTGCTATTGTACTGTCTTTTGAGATCTACAGAAGTTACTTGTGCATGTGAGTGCTTTCTCTTGCCAGTGAACGTTACATACTGGAATGCAGAACCTTGCAGTGTTGAAACTGGTGTGTTTGACATGAATGTTTTGGCATTCATCGGTGTTGTTTGTGCACTGTCACAACATGATAATCACAACAAAATACTAACATTCAGGTAACACAGATTTTTACTGGGTATCAGCCATACACATACATTACATCGCTCTGCGGCTCTACGTGCATTACGATTAATCACCTGTCACATCAATGCGCAGATCCACGCTACGTATCATCCATATCATAATGCAATGTAAAATTGTTCCTCAGTGCCACCAAAATGAAAAGTATTAAGCACCACAGTCAAAATGGTTAGATACACTATATTACCAAAAATATTGGGACACCTGAATTCTATGATTTAGAGGGGTGTCCCAATATTTTTGGTAAGACCCAGATGGATAAAGCGGTATAGATAATGGATAGTGTATATTGCCAGTATGTCAGTGTAAGCATTCTCCTGAGCGCCACATTTCTGAATGAGTCGTTTCCCACTTATTGTCACTGACCAATTTTTAGGTTCTTGTATTAAATTGGAACAATTTTACATTGCGTTATGATATGGATTAGAGATGCTCCGATCAGCATTTTTGGGGCCGATCACCGATTACCGATCACCAAGATCATGATCTGCCGATTGCCGATCACTGCCGATCACAGAATGGCAGGGGAATGGGAATCTTTTATCTATAATCTAGCAGAGTTTGCACCATTTGTAGAAATGAAACTAACTCTAAATTAACTATATTGAAAAAAAAAAAAACTGTAGAAATAGGCTACAGTCAAGATCTTGAAGAATCAAGCACTTGACACTTGGCGCCCCACACTGAAGGAGGGGCAGTGACACTTTGGTCAGCACTGTTGCCTGACACCTCCAGGGTCAACACATGAAATGTTCCCTGAGAGTAGAGTGGTTTACTTTCTCATACTCGGCATATTCAGGTGTATGGCGTGTTCTAAGATGCCTAATCATGTTAGTGGTGTTAAAATGCCGTTGCTTGCTTCCACCTCGAGGGATTTCATCACGACATACATTGCAAACGGCTAACTTTACTTCTTTATCGGACACTTTGAAAAACTTCCAGACGTGAGAACTCATGTTGCCACTAGTAAGCTCCGCTCTGCTGTTGTTTACCTGTGCGCCATGCATGCACGTGTGAAAAAGTCGCGCGAGTAATTTACATCAAGTGATCGGCTTTTTTGATCGGCGCTTTTGGGGTTCGCCGATCAAGCTATTTTTAGCCAATATCGGCCAATCATGATCGGTGGCCGATCAATCGGAGCATCACTAATATGGATGATAAGTAGCGTGGATCTGCGCATTGATGTGACAGGTGAAAACTTCGATCTCGTTGCGGAACCTGAAAATATTAACCTATTTCAAAGATATTTTGCATGTTTAATAACGAGGTTCAGTAACAACTTTTCTGCACTATTGGAAATTGCTATTGGAATTTTTGATTTTTTCACCCCACCCTAATGAACAACCAGCATTACGCAGCTTTGGAAGCTGACACTCTGTCCATATGTAATAGTAATGATGTGCTTCACAGGAAGTGTTGGTGGAGCATTTGGAGGTGTGTGTGGATGGGCTGTGGAAATCCGAGCGATACGAACTAATCACCCACATTGCAAAGCTCATCATTCCTGTCTATGAGAAGCGGCATGAGTTTGAGGTATGGTGGACGCACAGTCACACACTATGGGAGACGGACGCACAGTCACACACTATGGGAGACGGACGCACAGTCACACACTATGGGAGACACACACACAATCATGCACTATGGGAGATCCACACACAGTCATGCACTATCGGAGACACATGCACAATCACACACTATGGGAGATACACACACAGCCACACATAATGGGAGACACATACGGTCACACACTATGGAAGATACACGCACAGTCACACACTATGGGAGACGGACGCCCAGTCACACACTATGAGAGACACACGCTCAACCATGCACTATGGCAGATAGACACATGCAGTCACACACCATGGGAGACACACGCACAGTCACACGCTATGGGAGACACACGCACAGTCACACGCTATGGGAGACGCACGCATAGTCACACGCTATGGGAGACGCACGCACAGTCACACGCTATGGAAGATGCACGCACAGTCACACACTACGGAAGATACACGCACAGTCACACACTATGGGAGACACATGCACAGTCACACACTATGGGGAATTTAGCATTTAGCAACACCCCAAACATAATGTTATTGGACTGTGGGAGGAAAGTAGTAGTGACAGTAGTTCTCTCACATTCTACAAGTGCATAAAATTTTTATGTGTTAGATTTATTTACATAGTAAGACATGATGAAATGTGATCCAATAAGTATCCTTTTAAATAATCCAATCATCTAGTGCTTATCGGGACATTAAGTCGGTGACGTCTGGCCAGAAGTAGAACTGCTCCAAGTAATGCTAAAGTCTGTTCTGGTCTTAGTTCTGTTTATTTCCATAGCCCTGTGTTATCATTCCACACAAGAGAAAAACACTATGTCTTTTTTCTGTTCCACGCTGCAATATTTGTTGGTAGTTTTACCTATAAATCTTCCCCTATTTTGGACTGCCATCTCCCAATCTACAGATTGTATAGATCTGTGGAGCAGGAGCTCATAATTTATCCCCTTACATACCAGCAATTATCTTTGTATCTTGTCTTCCTCTGCCTTTTTGGGAGTTAAAATGGATCCAGCAGTTACTGTCCTTTCAGGAAATCATTTATGCTTATGCACTGCTTTACGGCTGCTGTGTCTGACATCTCTATGGTGTGCTTCCTGAACAGCAGTACACATGTTGATGGTGTTTGTATCCAACCTCATACTACAGTTTCTACCTACAGTGCAGAGACATGCAGAAAGGCTATTCAGGCCCTACTGTGTGCTTGTGTATGTGTGCTGTCCTGCCTTCTGCCTTATACTCTCTAGGATAGGGTCCAGCCCTAGCGGATGGATGAATGGATACATTAAGCAAGCTTTAGCATGAGAGTCTTAGCTAACCCAGCAGTGTGGCCATCACAAGTGTATTCCTGATCTGTCCCTGATAGCCTTTACCAGTCATGTACATTTTGTTTTGTTTATATTATAAGTAGGATCTTAGCACTTTCTTGTCCTGTACCTGGCCTTTATGAGCAGGAATCAGCATTAACCAGTGACGTGTTTTTCACATCTTACAGAAACTGCGGCGACTGTACGACACATTGCAGCACGCCTACACCAAGGTCCTGGAGGTCATGCAGACGCGTCGCAGGCTGCTGGGAACATTCTTCAGAGTGGCCTTTTATGGACAGGTCAGTCTGGCCTCTCTCTTATAATATTCTGGGTGGGTGTGGTCTAAAAACTAAAAGATGGGACCTCTATGGAAGTGTTGGTGTGGCTAATACATTGTGGTTTTCTGTAGATGTGTGAGTTAGGCCTGCACAGAATGGCTTAGGGACAGGTTTATGTGGCCTGTTCAGGGTAGCTCAGTATGAATTTGTTGGTTATAGATGGCCTAATGGCCAACTGAGTGATGCAGAGTAGTTATATTTTATGTGGAGACCCTCTGTGGACTCGCAGCCCAAAAACCTGACTCCATAGACACTAACACAAATCCCTTTTAAAAGCACATGAGAAGATATTGTTTACATTCACATTTAGTATATATTCTGGCAACTCATTCACGTCATGAATTTCAAGTGTACCTTCAACAATAAATGAAGTCCTTATCACTCATCGGGTTGTGGGCCAGTCCTTTGAATAACATTTTATTTATACACGGGGGCTAGTTCTAGTCCAGAAAAAAAAATCCAGTAAAAATCCAGACCAAGATTTTGTTTCAACTAACCAGTTGAGTATAAAGAGTCAAAGTCCAGAGTATTTAACTGGTTTGTTGAAACAAAATCTTGGTCTGAATTTTAACTTTCTGGATCTAAACTATCCACATCTGTCTTTTAGCATATGTTGCCAGGAAAAATAAAACAGCTGCTTTACTCTTCCCTCCAAAGTGGTGTGTATGATGTTGCATCTTCCCAAACCCATTACTGCAAACTTGGATTACAAACTGTATATACGCACATAAATTAAATGTTCATCTGATGTGTCATACATTCGGGGTTCCAATATTAATAATTTATTTTTGAACATTCAGATTCACTCCATCATTCACAGTCCCTGCCTAGCGTTACTTCATTTCTAAAAAGAAATTTTTCCTAGTGACATTCTGGGGGTTTTGGATTTCTGATGAAGACCCATTTTGCCCGCAGGGCTTTTTTGAGGAAGAGGATGGGAAGGAGTACATCTACAAGGAGCCAAAGCTCACTGGCTTATCTGAAATCTCCCACCGCCTGCTTGCTCTGTATGGTGACAAATTTGGAGTAGAAAATGTGAAGATCGTACAGGATTCCAGTAAGGTGTGGTTTTTCTGAAAATTCTAGTTTTATGCGAGTCTCTCTTTTTGTGTGAGCCTCAGTAAACAACAGATGTTCTGCTGAGGATCCAAGTAAGGTCTCACTAATATACACAGTACCCATGCACATATACACACGCGCACACACACACTTAATCTCACATTAACATATGCACACACATACAGACACACGCACTCTCAGACGCACAAGTGGGCACTACAAAACATGATAAATGTGAGGACACCCCACAAGGTCAGTTTTCTCCAGAAATGAATGCTGTCCTTAAGGGGAACGTTAAGGAAAGTGTGAGGACAGCCAGCTACCATGGGGACTGTAAGGCAGATGGTTATCTGGATATTCCCCTTTTTGGGCAAGCAGGACAGTGAGAACACAGAGAGCAACTTGGGAAGTGGGGGTGGGGGAGTACAAATACATGGGAAACCCCCGACAAAGTGCAGCTACACTTTAAGTGTGAAATTATTGAAGCAGAAGTATTTTTCAGTGGAATCTCAGGTCTTGAGTCACTGGGAGAGTAAAATCAACAGAAACCTCAATGAGTCACTAAATGGTAATGATCAGGAGCAAGAACAGTAATGTGGGCCAGGTCACCAAGGCACGCTCACACACACATTCATTCTCAGACCCAACATTCACATACATAAACTGTAAATGTTCTCTGTTTCATTTTATTAAAACCCAATGGCCGTTTTGCTCTGTGCACAAATGTAAATTACTTTTTTAATGCTTTCCATCAGGTAAATGCCAAGGAGCTGGACTCAAAGTTTGCTTACATCCAGGTCACTTTCATGAAGCCTTACTTTGATGAGAAGGACCTGTCTGAGAGGAAGACAGACTTTGAGAAAAGCCACAACATTAACCGTTTCGTGTTCGAGACGCCCTACACCCTGTCTGGGAAGAAGCATGGTGGTGTAGAGGAGCAGTGCAAAAGAAGGACAGTGCTCACAAGTATGTGTGGCGGGGGCAGTGCTAAGCTTATGAGAACCCAGGTAAAGGAGGACATTGTCAATAGGTCAGTTAAAGCCATCAGGACCAGTCATCCAAACCTGATGAGATATACATAAATATGGCATTCAGGTTCAGTCTAAGGTATTTATAGAACTCAAAATTAGATAGTCTATTAACAGACTATCAGTGTATCCATCCATCTTCCAACTTTTATCAAGTAGGTCACAGAGAGTTCATAAAGGGATTGGACATGTTATCACATAGACAAAGTAGCTAAGTGCCAGTTAATTATTTTTTTCTAGGATTAAGCATGTGATTTTATTGAACAAATATTTGCTAGTTATTTATCCAGTTAAAAGTACGCATATCATTCTTCAAGATACTGTGCTTCTCCTTACAACTGTCAAGATGTTAGCTAAAAATACACTAAAAAACCATTGCGAGTGTCTTTAAATAGTCATGTGTGCAACATTATTTAATATGAAGGAATGTCCCCTTGTGTCTGTGGCTTTTTTAGTAGTTTTGGCAGTATTTGTAAGTAAGTTATTCCACAGATCGAGTGTTCCCCAAAAGAGGAAAGCATAATAAACTCTGCTTACTGAAGCAATTTTATAATTTTTTTGTAAATGCATAGTTTTCATACTGTAAACATCTTAAGGAAGCGAAGATAAAATAACATTCTGCAATTAAAAAAGTGTACACAGGCTATTACACGGTGCACAAGGCTATAATTATAATCAACTTGTTTAGTACAATTCCTTCCCCAACAGACCCTACAGGGGGATTTAGGATGGGGGTGGGGATGAACCAAACCAGCAAACTCGGCCAAAGAATGTCCATGTCGACTCCCTTATTCTTACCCATATCTAACCTAACAGAAAACGTTTCTCTCAGCTAGAAGACAAGAATGAAGAATGGAACCAATCAAAATGAGTTTCTCTCAAAATTATTTTTTTTTGCAGCAATTTCTTAGGAAAGGATTTTCATCCAAAATCATCTTCATCTGTAAATGCTGTTAAAAATGTATCATGTGAAATACCTGTAGAAGCACCCTTAGCTTTCACGTCTGCGGTATTTACCATGACTGAGAAACTTCAAGGAATCTGTTAAAGTCACGGACCATGCTTGTCCCCTCCGTCCCCCAGCTGCAAACACCTTTCCCTACGTGAAAAAGAGGATTGAGGTGGTGGGGGAGAAGCAGGTGGAGTTGAAGCCCATCGATGTTGCCATTGATGAGATGCGTGACCGTACGGCTGAGCTGCAGAAGCTCTGCTCCAGCACAGAAGTGGATATGATTCAGCTGCAGCTGAAGCTGCAGGGCTGTGTCAGCGTGCAGGTACCCTTAATGTTACATGGGACGCGAGTCAGTGCTCTGGCACCACCTAGGATGGGAGTCGATGCTCTGAATCAGGGACTAGGGATGTGTTTCACTGCTCTTGTGTCCCTAGGGTTATTGCTTGTGTTTCTGACATAATTTGAACAGAGTTAGTATATGGAACATCACTAAGACTAGAAGAAGGTGTCTTTGAAAGGTGAAGGGTCTGTTCCCACTGTTCGACAGGTCAATGCTGGTCCCATGGCCTATGCTCGGGCTTTCCTAGATGATGCCAAATCCAGCCAATATAGCACCAAGAAAGTTAAGGAGCTCAAAGAGATTTTTAGGTAAGTTCATTATAAATACATGAACAATGAGTCAAACCCTGGCAGGGAACTGAGAGGGAGCAAAAATGTGGACTGTCTGGCAGGAATCTGGGAGGGAGCAAAAACAGCTGGGAGGAAGCAGGGTCTGTGGGTCCCTGGGGACCTGGTTGGAAAACACTGCTCTAGAGTGTTTGCTTTTATTATCTATGCAAAATAATCATTTATCTATAATTATCTATTAATCATGATCCTTAAAGTGGGGCAGCATGGTGGCGCAGTGGTTAGCACTGTTCAATCACACCTCTGGGACCTGGTTCTCTGCCCAGGCCCCAAGTGTGGAGTTTGTATGTTCTCCCCGTGTCATCGTGGGGTTTCCTCCAGGTACTCCAGTTTCCCCCAAGTCCAAAAACATTCTAAGTGGAGTTACCAAATTGCCCATAAGTGTGCATGTGTGACCTGTGATGGGTTGGCGCCCTGTCCTGGGTTGTACCTTGCCTTACAGAAAAGGGGCGGAGATCCTTAGATTTGGAAGATCATTTTCAATAGTAATTTTATTGTTTTATCTACCCAAACAAATTGTGTAAATGCTTATCTTTATGCTTTGTTTTTGTTTTTTTTGGCTTAGCTCTACTAGTGAAAGCAGTGCTAAAGGCTAACAGTTAATCTTGGTTACAATTAAACAATGAGAATGAGGGCAATTGTTGCAAGATTGTTCAACTGGCATCTGCAAAGATTTTTCAGAAATTAAAGCACCACCCAGAACATGCCCAAAGCATTCATTCGCTGCACCAGCACATGTTGCTTATCATTATGAAGCCTGACACTTCATAATAAACTTTAGCCTAAAACTAAGGCCTGACAAAATACTTTGAATCAGAGTCTCTCAACCCTGTCCTTGTGGACCCCCCAGACAGTCCTTGTTTTTGCTCCTTTTCAACTCCCAAAAATTTTGAGCTATGGTGGAGCAAAAACATGGCCTGGCTGGGGGTCATCGAGGACCAGGTTGAGGAGCACTGCTTTAATTAAACAACATCACTACGCATAGATATGTACGAGAAATTATTTTTTAGTTTTTATTTTCCACTACTATAAACAAATTAATATTCAAGCCATTGTGGAACAATGTGATTTTCTATCTGTACCCTTTACATTAAATTCTAACAAAGATATTTCAATTGTAAATAATGCAAAAAGTTTTTTCCAAAAAACGTGTTTTATTTTGATATTTACTTTTCATCATATTGTTCCTCATGACTCTTCATGATGTCTTACCACAGAAGCTTTGTTCAGTCATGCAGTGTGGCCTTGGACATCAACGAGTGCTTGATCAAAGAAGATCAGTTTGAGTACCACGAGGGCCTCAAAGCTAACTTTAAGGACATGGTGAAGGAGCTGTCGGACATCATCCATGAACAGGTATGCAGTATCTGGCCTCCAATTCCTCTCTTAATGATTCCCATAGCCAGGGGTTTTGTGCAGGATGCATTTCTCATTGCTGATGATGATACTTTACTTTTACATCTTTACAAGTACAGGGAGTAGAAATATAAAATACAGACGCTCCTCTACTTACAAACTTTCAACTTACGAACTCTCAGACAAACGAAGAGGACTGCAAGTCCAAATTGTGTTCCTTGGGCTCCCATTTCCTGTCCGCAAAATCAAGTTTTTTTTCTGCGTGCCAGTTCCACGTAGTTTGACTTCTGGCCACTAGTCCTGCCACGCCAGCAGCGTAGCGTGCGTACTCCCAGCATCCTAGTTCTTTGTACTTACCCTTTGTACTTAGTTCTTTGTATACCCTTAAAATGATGTTGAATAACGACTTACGAACATTTCAAGTTACGAACGACTGTTCGGAAGTATCTCGTTCGCAAGTAGAGGAGCATCTGTACAGATATTTTATGGGTTCCACTGAAATAAAGGTAGCTGATTATGAGAAAGATCTCGGTGTGTATGTTGATGCTTCCATATCCCAATCTCGCCAGTGTGAGGAAGCAATAAAAAAGGCTAATAGGATGTTGGATTACATCTCTAGGTGTGTGGAGTTTATGCCAAGGGAGGTGATGCTACGATTATACAATTCCTTGGAATGACCCCACCTAGAATATTGTGTGCAGGTTTGGTCACCATACCTTAAAAAGGACATTGCTGCCTTGGAAAAGGTTCAACGTAGGGCTACAAGAATGATTCCTGGTCTTAGAGGAATGTCTTATGAGGAGAGGTTAGCTGAGCTGAATCTGTTTAGCCTCGAGCAAAGGAGACTAAGGGGGGCCCTGGATGCTGTTCAGCCAAATGGCCACTTCAATATTAGTTTAAATAATAGAACTTGAGGCCATAAGTGGAAATTAGCAGGAGAACATTTTAAAATGAATTTAAGAAAGCACTTCTTTACACAGCGTGTAGTTAGAGTATGGAATAGTCTTCTTGTTAGTGTAGTGCAAGCGAAAACCCTGAGTTCCTTTAAATCAGAGCTAGATAACATTTTAACAACTCTGAGCTATTAGTTAAGTTCTTCCCAGACGAGCTTCATGGGCCGAATGACCTCCTCTCGTTTGTAAATTACTTATGTTCTTATGGAACATTTTGGGGTGTCAGTGAATATTGACATGAAATCTACATACATGCTAAGTATGTGCATAAATGTGATAACTTTATAGTTAGGGTCATATTGTTTTTTAGGATGGGTGATTAATGGAATTTTAATTTCTGTTACAAGTTCCAACAACTGTCAAAACAAAATAGTCAAGATAAAACGATTATTCTGCCGCATTTCATTTCACAATGATGCTCCCGTTCTGTCTTGTCTTATGAATCCAGTGAACCCCTTTCCAGCCCTGTTTTATTTCTTTCGCATCTGCAAAGGTTTTTCAGCATTTAAAGCACCACCCAGAACGTGCCCAAAGCATTCATTCGCTGCACCAGCACATGTTGCTTATCATTGAATTATATTTAGAGTTCAAGGAAATCCACTGTTAAAAAGACACGTTTTTTTAAAAAAATCAATAAATGCATGATATTTCAATAGTCAGTGAGTAATCTTGTTAAATAATCGCAATATTGCCCAAAATAATTGTGTTTATGAATTTTTCCATAATCGAGCAGCCCTATTTACTTTCTGCTGTGTTCATGCTGTACAGTTGAACAGAGAAGTTAATGCTTAGTGTCTTATGATAAGGTTATTGTGTCCTTATTTATATAGTAAGTACGGTAATTGTCATGCTTCCACTTTAGAGCAGTACAGTTATGCTGTTAGCAGGAGGCCATGTCATTAACATCAACCATGTATTGCAATGGCTGTAAGAGTTCCTGGGAGGAAAGTGCAATCGAGAGAACAGGGCAGGTCCATGCCTGGCAAGGTATGAAAAGTATGCTGACCCTTAGGAGAGGACACAGTGAAGTCAACTGATAGCAGTTCAGGGAATTGAGGAAGTTGGTGAGTTTCAGGAATATCAAAACCCAGCAATTGTTGTACAGGGAATCGTCACTTTGCATGCCTGTTAAACAGAAGCACCGACGTCTTCAGGGAGATGGAGCAGTGTTGCACATATTCTCTGAACATTTGATCATCGCGCTTCTCATCAGTTAAATAGAGAGTGGATGTGAACAAACAAGCTCAGAAGTGCTTCGAATACACAGATCCTGTCTTTCAGTGGAGCATAAAAAGTGGCGCCAAGCAAGTTAAATCTGTTTTTGCCAATCTAGCTTGACATGCATTGCCACTCTGTAAAGAAAGACTAAGTTAGGAAAGGCTGAGGCACTGAACATCTACAAAAGTCATTCTGAGTGCCAAAGTCTTTCCTCTTTGAAAAGTGTTAATGTCACTTTTAATAAAACACCACAAAGCTACTGTATATTTACATTTTGCATGACACTGTTTTGACGTGCGTCTTGGCAAGCCACACCAAGGCATGTTCTCCCCATTCAGCAGGATGAGAGCCCAGCTGTGTCTCCTCTACTGGAGTAATGGACAAAGAGGTCAGGATCAGAATTAGAATAAAAACCACTTTCCAAATCTAGTGGGGGGAGAATGCACTTCCTGTCCATTAATCTCTCCTGGAAATGGTGAATAGGTGCCGACCCTAGTATGTGTCCCAGGTGGCTTCTTCATCTGTCGGGTCCCACTGTGGGAATCCCAAGGCGAGCGGCCCTGCTAATGCACTGTAGTTACTTACAATTAGTAGCTAACCTGAATATTTTATACAAATCAACGTAGATTCGTTGTGTACTTATTTTATGCATTGCTGATATTATTGAAAAGCTAATAGACAAGATTCAAACTGGACCAAGTTGGCTGACAATATGTCTAATTACTCACTGGTTATTTACCAGCATTTTGGTCCTCATCTCATAAGAGGGGAGATGTATAACAGTCTGACATTCATATATACTCAAACGTATATTCCCAGATATGGGTGCATCCATATTATCAGTCTGGGGTCCAGTACAGTGCTCTTGTCCCAAGGCCAATAAAAGATACCACGTGACAATGTATCAGTGATATTGTTAACAAACAAAATAAACGGGACCACACAATGTCTAAAGAGGTACGACAACAAGTTCATACACCTCAAACTAGTTAAACATCTAAAAACTTAAAAAGAGAGAGTGATGAAATTTCTCTGCAACATCCCACAATGCAGCAAACACTAGGATGGAGAGAAAATAACAGAAGCTCTTACCCAGTAAAATGTTCTTGATGATCAAGCATAATGTACACAGAGGGCATAATACATTCTAAGGTGGTTCGTGTGTAAAAAGTTTTGCATTAGATGGTTTTAGATGGCCTGTTTTTAAATAATAATTAAATCTGCCCCATTATTCCATCATTTTCCACAGAGACTAAAATGATAATCAGAACTGCTAATCAACTCCCCACCCCGTCAGCAAGTTCTAATGCTGGCTGTTTAGTGGATTATTCGTATATTGATTTTGAATACTTTCATATTTTCTACTACAAAATATTAAGTGCTGCACTTGGTGCCAAGTGTATGTGTGTGTGGGAGGGCAGGGACTTCAATATTATCATTTATCCCAGTATTTTTAAATTCAAATTTCAAAATCATCTATTATGTCAGTGAATACTACAATGTGTATAGCGTGATTGTTTACATTGCATAGATGTCCAGCCATCTGCATGTCTGTCCTCTGTACTGTATGTCAGTACAGGGTGAGGGTAAGCCTGGTGCTTATCCCAGGCAGTGTAGGGGCAAGGGAACACCCTGCATGTGATGGCAGTTACAACACACACCCATAAAATGCACTTTGACCAGTAACGTGTTCCAGGCTATCCAGCAGTGGGGATAAAACTGGTAAAATCAGTCATTCCTCACCCTGCTCAGTACAATAAAACACCAAAAGAACCTACATACCGAACTTGCTTCCTGAGGTGGAGAGTTCTGGTGTGGTGCTGATGTAATTGGAATGACGAATGATATTTTTCTTAGTGATAGCATTCACCTTATGTAAAGCATTATGTCCTTGAAGGAGCAGTCCCTGAGACAGCATTTTGTCAAGCAAAGAATACACTCTTGTATACCAGAAGGCTTCCTGGCACTTATGTAATCTAAGCCGAGATGTTGTTCTAGGAGCTCAAGGTGGTCCATTAAGAAACATTATAATTGTATTTTTATTTGCATAGTTGCTTAGTGATTTATATTTGATATATAATTTAATATATGTGTTTATGTCTTTACACTTTTTGCAGCTGCCAATCACTGATCTTGATATTAAAATATGGTTATAAAATCATTTAAAAACTTGTGTTGGATAGTGAACCTAAGAACCTAACAACTTTCTGACTCTGCTGTCCTTTTTTCCATTCTAACATGCTGTCAGGTTCTTCTGATGTAAAGAAGGCTGATTTTTAAGGAAGGTCTCTGCTTAGCTTTCCATATTTTTCTCTTCAAACTGCATGGAAATTGCCCACATCCCTGTTGCTGCTGTGTCTGCCGTGTGTGTCGGGTCATGTTTTGTCTGTATTATTTAACTTGTCTAGTGGTCTTTCAGTGTGTGGTCTTTCTCAGTTGCATTTTGCAATTTTGAGTTTGTTCACTTATCTTCTTTCATTTTTGGTTTGCATGACTGTGTTGTTGCAGCTCATTTTCCTGGTTGAATCTATAATGCATTTATCTCCCTCCGTTCTCTGCAGATCCTCCAGGACGACATGATGCGTTCTCTTCTGCAGAACTCCTTGCATGTTTTCCGAGTCATCAGTGGGACCTCCACTGACCTTAGCTAGCCCTCCTCCTCTGTCCCTCTCTGTGTTCTACAAATGCAATGGAGTGATCACCCTCATGTTTTAATCACATCTCCTGTTAGTGACTCATGGTGAAGTTCCCAGTGTGATCAGTCCATCTTTCTAGAGAACACGCCTCATCCAGATGCACTCTTTTCCCCGGCTCCTCTCTGATTACTTCCCAGAGTACAGTTCAGATCTGCTGCCTACCTCTAAACTTAAAGAACATTTGGAAGTGTCAAGGAAGCTGTCCCTAATGTTCTCCTCATGATTGAGTCATCAAGGACAAATCCAATAAGGGGTTGATGGACCACTAACTGCAACTCAGTGGTTTTCTGAGAGGAGAATGCCGCCTTCTAAGTTATCATTCCTTTATGGCAATTTCCTTTGGATAAAAAAGGGAGAATGTCTGCAGGATTTGTGTTTCTGGAAGGCCCATATAATGCCAGTATAAATGGACAGTTGGGTGTTTGGGAAGGGCTCTTCTCTTGTTCGCCCCCCTCCACTTCCTGAGCGCACAGGATAAAACAGAAACAGCAGCACAGTTGCGACAGCCCTGTTGAGCAAGCCACCCATCAGATATAGCTGCCAGTCTCCGCCTGCCATTATCATTCACCTGCAGGAAGCAGGGGAGAAGCTCAGAACCAGGAATCCACAAGTGGTCACATGACTGCGTCTCTGGGCAAGGGGATGGGTGTGGTTATGTGGTACTTCTGTTTCTGCAAGGCACTATGTGGTACAACTTATCTTGCTCGTAATTGCCATTAATGATGCACTTTTTAATAGGCTCACTCTAACTGAGCTCGGCACTTGGGCAGGGGCCCAGGCACCCTGCAGACCGCCTGCCAGCTGGCACCTCCCAGATCCCTCGCTGGCTGTGCAGGGCCACTCAAATTCTTGTACATTTTTTCTAATTATTTGTCATTGTCTTATTTTCCTTTTTTATATATCCTTATTTTTGTTTCAATGACAGTGCTTAAAAAATCAGTTATTGCCTATTTAATATATGTTTATATATGAACAGTGATGGCATAGTTACATATATTAAAATGGTTCTTTATATGCTCTAAAAGACATTTGAGTTTTATATTTTATCAAATATACCTTGAATTTTGTTAGGGACTGGTTTGTCCAGAATCTTTCCTATCTTACTCAAAAACCAGGTCATTGAAATACTGCAAGAAAATTCACAGAAAAGACAAGAAGTGTTAGTGGTTTTGGCTTTTCTGGAAATATGTACACTGCTGCGTCATATTAACATGCAACATGACATGAAACTGTCCTGCTTGTACTGGGTATTGTGGGAATGTGATTTACACCCTGCCCACTACCATATAGAAAGACAATATTTCCCATCTGTATAAGAGTTTTGGTCCCATCATGCCTTCTGTCCATTTATGCACATATCTGATGCCACGAGGTAACAGTTTGTGTCACATGCTGTTATACAGTATTTTTCTGCACTGAATAAGGAGAATATGCAGATTTATATTATAAAAAACAAGCTGTACATTTTTAATGACCTATTAAACTATTAAATCTTGGCCTAGCATTTCCCATTATGTTATTTGCGTTGTACCTGAGCTGACCTTCTCATTAAAAAATAGTATAAATAAAGGGCGTTATTTCATCTGTCTATACAAATTTGAATTGCCCTTCTGGTACCTAGTTTATCAACTCATTCACATTAATATTAATAATTGTTATATTACTTACAGCAGTCAGACGTTTATTAATGTCGCTTTCGCATTTGCCTTAGACGAGGAAGTGACACATAAAGAGTTAAGAGCCAGTAACTATACGAACAGATCTGGTGGATGATGTGGGAGGTGTACACGCCCCGTTCGTCCTTCCTTGTCTTCAGTTGCTGTGAGAAGCCTATTCTCACCCAGAACACTCAAGCATTAAATGGTTTCCTTAGTCCTATCTTTTAAGTAGCATTTCGTTTTTGGCTAGCCGACCAAAGCAAAACAGGGCGTTCAGAGCATTCAAACTGCGAGGTCGGAACTCCCCAAGCATAAATGATGGGTCGGGAAACTTTCAGTATGCATCGGGAATGGTTACTGATCTTAAACTTTTGGATCGCTTTTGCCTCCGAGACCAGTAAAACGGGTAGGTGCTACCATTGTTATTATTCTAGTTCTTTTTTGTCGAAATCGCTGTTTTCAGTGTTGGTCGCTTTTTTGATTAAAGTTTACTCGGTACAGAAGGCGGTTCTGTATAATACTGTGAAGTAATCCAGTTCAAATTCCTGCTAATGACGTCAGCACACCTTACAGTAAAACAATTTCCCAATCCCATTTCCCTGTGGATTTTTGTGAATATGTTATGAAAACAATCGTGTATGTATTTTTTAAGTTGTCTCAAAATGGGAGTTACTTTTACAATGGTAACTAATAAGTGAGCGCACTGAAAACAGAAATATTCTCACGCAGTATTTTAAAACTTAACTGAGGGAAATAGACTTCCTTAAGTGTTAATGAATTTACTGTTAGGAGAGTTTCGGGTACAATGTTCGGCGGATCTGGATTTTTAATGGAAATAGGAAACATTCATGGGTACGGTAAAGGGAGCACTGCCATTGCCATTGACTCATTGCTTGTTAACAGGTATGCTGCCACCTCCGCGTAACTTATCCTTGGAAAGAAGGAATCACAATTTCTGTCTGCGTCTTTCGTGGAGCTCACCGGAGGGCCTAAACAACAGCAACAAGTGTGCGGTACACTACGAGGTGGTAGAGAAGGTCGGCCAGGTGAGTTCGGGCTTTCTGGGACCTTCGATACAGTCCGGTGCGTCAAAACCGCGCGAACAGATTGATGCGAAAGTATCAGAAAAGAATAAATCATATTTACTAGTCTCATTAGAGATCATCATGAATATACTGCTATTGTATATGAATTATTATTTTTTTAAATCACAGAGAATGTATGTGAGATCCGTTTGAATGGTTTAAATAGAATGGGTAAAATAGATATTAATAATAACATGTATATATATATATATATATATATATATATATATATGAAGTAGGCCTCGATTTCATACAGCGTAATGATAAAAAAAAAACGGGTTAAAATCTAGAACTTGTGCGGAAAGAAAATTACTAGTATTGATAGACATGTGATAATGCTACTTTGTTGCTTTGCTACCCTGGAAAACCACGGAGAAACACCAGCAAACGGCATGTCAGACTACCCCGAAAGTGGCCGAGAGGCCTCAGACTCCAGAGGGTTAACGAGAACAACATATATAGTACTCATATAGGCAAATGACTGACATTGTTCAACATGTTTTATCTTGACTAGTCCTTTAAATAAGTATTACAGATTGTTAGAACAAAAGATAATTGCTGTCACTGGATACAGCAGAATTTGGATATAAATCTATATAAAATATTATACAGTATGCAACTGTCCAAGTGAGACTTGAAAAACGAACAAAAATATTAATATCAATAATAACACAATATTAACTATAATAAATATAAAATTAAGAATAATAAGAAACGCACATATAATAACAATACCACCACCAACCCCACCCTAGTGGGGAAATTCTATTTTCACCTACCCTATCTTGCTCTCAGTGACACAGATGTAGGTGAGAGCAAGCTTGGCAGTGAAGGGCGACCACCTGCAGAGGTCCCCATGGAGCTGAGGGTTGAGAGCTTTTTCTGAAAAGCCCACAGATGTGATTATTCTGCTGAGGCCAGGCTTGTACCAACAACTTTCCAATCGCAGGCACGAAGACTTAGCCCGCTGAACCACACTGCCCCCTAGGGAGTAAGTTATGTTAGAAGGTCTGTACAGTGAATTAATAATAGAAAGCCTAAAAAATGGATTCAAAGTCTGTCCCTGGCTCTGTGCATGAAGCTTGCTTGTTACCTCATGTTTTCACTGGTTGCCTCTGGATTTCTGGCAGTTAAGTGTCTCAGATGTGTGATTGGTGTGTGATTGTGCATGTACAGTATATGTAGCTGTGCGCCTGGCACCAGACTGCTGTCCAATCCAGGGTGTTCCCTGCCTGGAATAAACTTCTGGCTAACCCTCATCCTGATTTCAGTAACCAGTCAGAATACTGCTGGAAGGAAAAAAGTGGATGAGGTTTTCAGAGAATTACATTTGCTTTATTTATTTTGTGGAGCTTGTAATTTAATTTGTTTTTAATGTTTTTATTAGAGATGTGCTGATCCACATTTTTTCAGTTCCAATCCGACTCCGATACACAACTTTACAAAGATTGCAAATAGCTGTGTTACTGCTAGTTAAAACCGGAAAATACTCCCAGATCATCACTGTGTTTTTACGCTTCTCCTACTCTAAAGGGTATGCGCATGACGTCACAGCAGGCGGAAGTCACCACACTCACATGCACTGACAGGGGCGCCATAAGTCGGGGGAAAGTTAGGGTGATTCCAAGGGCCCCTGAGTGACATGTTCAGGTTCAGGTTACTTTATTTGTACCTGTAGGTAGATTTGGGGCGCAGTCATGAGTCATACATCCTACATACACACTTCAACACAGGAACTGACAACAAAACAGATAAAAAAAAACGCTATGATCTATTTATCAGAGTGACGGCTGCTGAAACAAAGCTGTCTTTAAATGTTTTCGTTCTACATTTTGGGACACTTAACCTTCGTCCAGAGGGAAGAAACAAACTCACTGTGCAGAGGGTGTGAAACGTCAAGAAGAATTGAACCAGCATACCGCTGTAACTGTCTGGTGTACAGGGATGGAACTGCTGGATTCAACTGTGGCTCACCAATCAGCCTGTTAGACCATTTCACAATCTGATTGAGTTAGTTTCTGTTCTTTAAAGATAAATGTCCAAACCAAGGAAAAGGATAAAATAGATTCAGTAAAAGCACAATAAAATACAACCATCATAGTCTTACCAATGTGGATTGTTCCAAGATATTTATAGGCTTGAACACATTCCACCATCTGACCCTTAATGGACGTGTCCTCCTGTGTATGGGTGCCTGTTCTAAAGTCAATTCACATACCTTTTGTCTTAGATGTGTTTAATTGAAGTTAGGAATCATCACACCATTTCACAAAGACATTCAGGACTGGACCGTAGCTTTTCTCATTATCCTGGAGCAAACTGACAATAACAGTGTCGTCTGCATAGTTTTCATACCTGCTCTGACACATATTTGTATACAGGATTAATAATAAGGGTGAAAGCATGCATCCCTGTGGGGAGCCAGTTGAGGAGCAGGACAGGGTTCCATTTATCCAGACTCTTTGAGTCCTGTTTGTCAGGGAATCAAGAACCCAGTCCACAAGATTGCTCTAAAAGCCTTCTGACTAAAATATGAGGTTGAAACGTATTAAATGCTGAAGAAAAATCAACAGAGTAATTGAGGATGAGAACCTTTCTCGTCCAAATGTTTAATAATCAGGTCCAACAGGGTCACTGAAGCATCTTCCACTCCTCTCCGTGATCTGTAGGCAAACTGCATTGGGTCAAGCACATGTTCAGTTTGCCTCAAAATCTCTGACTTCACCAGTTTTTCAAATACTTTCATTACAATCAATGTCAGAGCCATTTGACTTTTCACATAACTGGATTTAGGAACAGGCGCTAAGACAGCATCTTTCCATATGTTAGGTATGTGCTGTATCTGCAAGGACTTTTTAAAAATAAAATGAAACACAGGACTCAGTTGCTGGGCACAAGATTTGAGTAGGCGACCACAAATATGATCAGGACCATAAGACTTGTTTACTCTTATAGAGTGAAAGTCCCTTGCCACTTCTGATCAATGTTAAAATGCTGACCATGTTTTAGGTTACACTTCAGTTCCTGAATCTCATTACTAAAATGAAAGGTATTAAAATGATTATAAAAACCATTCAAAGCATTGGCTAACTCAGAGTCTGAATGAAAGCCGTCCAGAGTGACACGATTACAATCCAATCCATACAGTCATAACACTCCTGCAGGCAGAGTACAGATTCCTCCGTCCAGTCCTTTATATCCTTCACCTGTACTTTCTGACTTTTTAAAACTTTTATAAATAGGCAGCAAGTGCACACAGTTATGATCTGGAGGTAACGGGACAGATTTATAGGCATCCTTTACTGATACATAACAGATTAAGCGTTTTATCCTGTGTAGTGGGACACGAGACAAACTGATAAAAGTTTAAAAGGGTCTTTTTCAGCGAGACATGATTAAAATCACCCAGTATAAAGTTAGGTGCTTCTGGTGAAAGTGACTGTAGTTTATGCATTACATCACAGATAGTGCTAGAAGCACAGGCAGCGTCTGCCCTTGGGTGAATGTACACTACTGTTATAAAAAGCCGGGGAAACTCGTGGGTCAGGTATAAAGGGCGTATTGATACTGATAAAAGTTCTACATCTGGTGTGCAGACACAATCTATGACAGTCACAGAGTTACAGTATCGTTTATTAACATAAAGACATACCCATCCTCCCTCAGTTTTCCGGGTCACTTCGGCTTTTCAATCCATATGAAAAGGTAATCCAAATCCCTCCATAAAAAGGTCTGTGTCCTGATCTTGTCCAGTGAGCTCTGTGAAGGCTAACAGGCGACCTCTTTGGAAAATAACTGGATTGGTCTGGATTGGGGGGCCCAATATGATATGCCTTTATGGGGCCCAAAATCACTAGCAATGCCCCTGCCCACTGAGTATCAAAAAACTGCAGAGTGGCAGCATTAGCGTTCAGTTGAATGCCGCAAAAACACATCTGAAATGGGAAAGAGCTCTTGTACTATTGATTGTGCAAATAGATTTAACATGAAATAGGAGCTATGTTTTTAGAGACTGCCAAAACTACGTAAGTAAGTATCGGACGTGGATCGGTCATGTACTGTATGCCTGATACCTGACCCAAATGTAGGATCGGTGCATCTCTAGTTTTTATACTTATGTTGTGTGCAATATCTTGCTTTTATTTTAACATGCAAAATATTGGTTATATGTTGCTACGGTGGTCACTTTTTCCAGTTATATTCAAGCACTCTAATGGATGCCACTGAAATATTTATGAAGCATTTATCTGCTTTGTAATGTTTTTTTTCTGAACCACTTTTTATTTTCCTCTACCCTGGTTTTGATTCACTATGTTTAAAACCCTAATTAGGTCTAACATATAGAACCACAAGTTAATCAGGGATGTGTATCCTACCCATGATATATTTTCTGTTTTCCATCTCAGACTACATGCGTTGGACTAGGGAGGTGAACAATGCAAGATGTTTATGTGCTGGCTGTTTCTGTTCAGTCTCAACACATAATGAGTTGTTTTTACAAGTGTCTCTTTGTCATTGTATCATTTTAGTGTTTAAATTAAATAAAACACCACAAATAATGACATAATAAAAACTATAAGTGTTGGAAGAAACTGGAGCCTATTCCAGGAAGTACAGGGCACAACACAGCCCCAGGTGCATGTCTAGGTCAACAAATGATCTAAATGTCATATTTACATTGGTTTCAGTTTATCTTTTTCAGGGTTACAGCATTGTGGAAGACAATATGCAGTCCACCATTTATAAAATATGTTTTAAATATTTTATAAATAGAAACTAGATGTTAAAGCAAAAGGAAAAACTTTTCTCAGTGCGGGAGGCCAGAACATGGCATTAAGCTTCTCACACCTACCGTGGTTTATGTTCATTCACTTCAGTTTGTTTTACTGTGGTACATACAGCAATTTCACTCTGATCAGGTGCAATAAATTGCTCTGCATTTTAGTGTGAAAATTTGATGTGCCAATAATGTGCCATTAAATGAGCATAAATGATAATGCATCAACCTTCCTTAACCACTTATTTCATACAAGGCCGGGGAGAGCCTGGAGACTAAACTAGGATACACAGGACACAAGGCAGGGAACACCTTGTATGGGATGTCAGTCTATGACAAAGCCAGTTTAGAAATAACAGTTTACTTAACTGTGTTTTTGGACTGGATTGCCAGATGGAAACCCCAAAGAAAAAACATGAAACATGAAAACTTTGCACACAGAGCAAGGGGTGGGATTTCAGCCCCCAGTGGTGTGAAGGTAAAATCACTCAGCTGCTATAATTAGATTAGATTAGATTAGATTAGACTTTATTAATCCCACAATGAATGGTCTTCAACATTCTTCATATAAAATATTAATAATTAAATATTACTGCATTTTCTAATCACAACCACAAATGGTAAATCAGCCTCATAAAACACATTCCTTTTTTTCAAATTCAGTTTAAGCAGGTTAATTGGCTGAAATGCAAAGTCTTAATAAGCAGTACAGTGATCCCCCGCCTATCGCGGAAGTTACGTTCCAGACCCATCAGCGATAGGTGAAAATCTGTGATATAGAAAGACCATATAAATAAACATTATTTATAGTTTAAGCCTTAAAATACCCCTCCCACACGCTTTAAAGGCGATAGGTGAAAAGGCGATAGGTGATAGGCGATAGGCGATAGGTAGAAAGACAATATAAATAAACATTTTTTAATAATATAAACCTTAAATCGTAGGGCTTAAAACAAAATGAAAAATTCACAAAACTTTGCTCTCAACAATCGGACCACAAGCAAGGTACGCAATACACAGAGAACTGTGATGTGTTGGGGAAAAATCTGCGATATAGCGGAGGCGCGATAGCTGAACCGTGATATAGCGGAGGATCGCTGTATTTATTACGATGATGCTTCCTATGTATATATAATAAAATAATTTGTATTTCCTCATGGTAATAAATAATACAGTCCTTGTCTGATTTAATTTTAATAAGTCTATGCCGCTTAAACATATTTTCTTTAGTGAAAGTCATATTATCTTTATCTCATGAGGTCTACATACCACCCAAGTTTATTTATGGTTAGCAGCAGTGCTGTCAACTGTAGAGGGGTGGAGGGGGGACCAGAAAGTTCTCCCGGGCCCTGGGTCAAGGGGACCCAAAACGACACTCCAACCTTTAAATAATCTGCTGAATTAATTTGCCAAAAATGCGTACAAAATTGCATTTGTGAAAACTTTATGATATTTATGAATCACATAAAAGCTTGTTTTTTTATCTTTCTCAATTGAAAGTTATACTTTCTCTCCCGATAATGCAAAACATAATGTCCACTGTCCTGGCCATATTTCTGCCTTTTAACGACTGTACATTGGGATTTTTTTTTTTGCAGAATGAAGAAACACAAACAACCGAAAGACTATTTTTTGAAAGATGTCCTAGCCTGGAGTCCGGAGTGATGTACAGCGTGAAAGCCAAGTGCAACAATGGGTCTCACATGGAGAGCAAATCTGTAACTCAGGGTATCCTGGCTCCCAAAGGTAAAAACATAAAATGGAAAAGGTGATAAGCAATTGTGCAAATGGGCTCAGGTACTGCATGTTTGCGTGTCAGTGCATGCAAATACTGGCCCCACCCGAAACCTGTGTCAAGCCTGGCACATGAATTGTATTTCTTGAATTCACCTCTTCCTTCTTTCAGTTAAAATGTAACAAAATCATGTGGGGAAAAAAAGAAAGCCTGGTGTTTATGGTGTGTATGTTTTCCACTGGAATCTTATGGTGAAAATGCAGGCACACAGACATTTCATCTCACCTTCCCATTACTTTTCCTGGCATGGCTTGTAGTGACCTCTTCTAAATATTTTTATATATATATATATCTTTACTGTATATATATATATAAATTCGTTTTCCCTCTTATTTTATACTTATCCTCTGTTAATACTTATTACCTTGTCTTTTTTACACTGATATGTTTTTCTCTTATTTTATACTTATCCTCTGTTGAGTACTTATTTCTTATGTCTAGCACAGTCGGAGAGTACTTTTTTCAGCCAGGGAAACACATTTCACTGTATCTTGTACCAGCTACAGTATAACTACATGTGACAAATAAAGAATCTTGAATCTTAAATCAGCCACAGATTCTAGCTTGAGCTGGGGGTCTCTCCAATTCTACAAATTCCTCACCCTGTTATTGTGATTGCAGAAACCCTGCATTGCGTGGCTCAGCAGGCTAAACCTCTGTGTCTGTGATTGGAAAGTCAGTAGTTCAGGCCTTGGCAGAATAGTCACATGACTGTGGGTTCTTGAGCAGGGTCTTAACCCTCAGCTCTCTGGGTGCCGCAAGGTGGCTGCCCCTTTACTGTGATGCCCCAAGCTTGCTCTTACCCATATGGGGAGCATGATGGGGGAAAAAGAGAGTTTCTGCTCAGAGATTAACAAAGTATCTCTATTCTATTAGCCACAGCTCATGATCATCCTACATTCCCTCTTACCTCCACTCATGGATGAGATTCTGAGGTACTATTTCATTAAGGGCAGAATCCACTTCCCTCCACTTGAAAGGATCAAATTGTTTTCTGAGAGGATACCATGACCTCAGATTAGGAGGTGCTGATTTTCATCTCTATACCACCATACCATTCAATTATGTGCTGAAGTTTTTGGTTGGATGAGACTAAAAGAACGACATCATCTGCAATTAGCATGGATGTCACTTCAAGCCCCCTGTACTATGGCTAGCTAGAATATACCATGCAGCTGTCTCAGGAAATGCCCTTGAAAGCTTTGCCCTGAAAGCCCTCTGCTTCAGCTTGACTACTTATTTTACCAAAGCTCCAAGGGTTATTACAAGGACTACAATGAAGGCAATGACTTCTGGCACAGTTCTTTGCAGTCCTTAAACAACCGAAGCCTCGAACATGGCACATTCAGAGTCAGTGTTCACAATCTCACTTGACGTACTGGGGAAGTGTTTCTGGAGGTGTGGTTGAATTTATGTTGCACAGACAGAATTTTCCAGCAGACCTTGACTGCTGGTCTGTGTCATTCTGGTCTATCCCAAGTCCCACTCACCACCATGTGGTTCTCTGTGGATAGTTCTTCACTGCTCCTCACCTCAGTTCCACACAACCTAAATTTAGAAGAAATGGCTACAAAGTCGATCCTTGAATTTTGGTCTAGGGTGCTTTGGCTCCATCTATAAACATCCTTGTGTTTGAATATGGCTGTAGGGAATCCACTTCAGCAGAATCTCATTTCAGCACACCGGTGGTTTATTGAACAGTAAAAATAATATAATGTAATACAGTGTAGACATACACCGGGTCCTGAAAGGCAGCTCATTTCATTCAATATCATAAACTTAATTCATGGCAAATTCTTGCTGACCTGCATGCAGAATTGGTGACCAACTACAAGAATATTCTGACAGCTGTGCAAGGGATCAAATACTTTCCCTAGATACAGTGTCTCACAAAAGTGAGTACACCCCTCACATTTTTGTAAATATTTTATTACGTCTTTTCATGGGACAAAACTGAAGATTTTTCAACTTTGATACAATGTAAAGAAGCCAGTGTACAGCATGTATAACAGTGTAAATTTGCTGTCCCCTCAAAATAACTAAACACACAGCCATTAATGTCTAAACCACTGGCAACAAAAGTGAGTACACCCCTAAGCGAAAATGTCCAAATTGTGCCCAAAATGTCAATATTTTGTGTGGCCTCCATTATTTTCCAGCACTGCCTTAACTCTCTTGTGCCAGGTTGCCACTGGAATCCTCTTCCACTCCCCCATGATGACATCACGCAGTTGGTGGATGTTAGAGACCTTGCGCTCCATCACCTTCCGTTTGAGGATGCCCCACAGATGCTCAATAGGGTTTAGGTCTGGATACGTGCTTGGCCAGTCCAACACCTTTACCCTCAGTTTATTTAGCAAGGCAGTGGTCGTCTTGGAGTTGTTTGGGGTCGTTGTCATGTTGGGATACTGAACTATAGCCCAGTTTCCGAAGGGAGGGGATAATGTTCTGCTTCAGTATGTCACAGTACATGTTGGCATTCAAGGTTCCCACAATGCACTGTAGCTCCCCAGTGCCGGCAGCAGTCATACAGCCCCAAACCATGACACTCCCACCACCATGCTTGACTGTAGGCAAGACACACTTGTCTTTGTACTCCTCACCTGGTTGCCGCCACACATGCTTGACACCATCTGAACCAATTGAGTTTATCTTGGTCTCATCAGACCACAGGACATGGTTCCAGTAATACATGTCCTTAGTCTGCTTGTCTTCAGCACACTGTTTGTGGGCTTTCTTATGCATCATCTTTAGAAGAGGCTTCCTTCTGTCGTTCCTTTGGACGACAGCCATGCAGACCAGTTTGATGCAGTGTGCAGCGTATGGTCTGAGCACTGACAGGCTGACCTCCCACCTCTTCAACCTCTGCAGCAATGCTGACAGCACTCATACATCTGTTTTTAAAAGAAAACCTCTGGATATGACACTGAGCACGTGCACTCAGCTTCTTTGGTCGACCATGGTGAGGCCTGTTCTGAGTGGAACCTGTCCTCTTAAACCGCTGTATGGTCTTGGCCACCGTGCTGCAGCTCAGTTTCAGGATGTTCGCAATCTTCTTATAGCCTAGGCCATCTTTATGTAGAGCAACTTTTTGTTTCCCATGAGGTGCCATGTTGAACTTCCAGTGACCAGTATAAGAGAGTGTGAGAGTGATAATACCAAGTTTAACACACCTGCTCCCCATTCACACCTGAGACCTTGTAATACTAATAAGTCACATGACACCGGGGAGGGAAAATGGCTAATTGGGCACAATTTACTCACTTTTGTTGCCAGCGGTTTAGACATTAATGGCTGTGTGTTTAGTTATTTTGAGGGGACAGCAAATTTACACTGTTATACAAGCT